TGACGGAGTACATTCAGCAAAGGAAACAAGTTGTGTACATATACCTTGTGTATACCTACGCAAGAACCGCATTAACAAAAAGCTGATTTGACTCAACACATATTTCTTTCAAACATTTATACCTGTGTCGTTATAGCAAACTTGCTGAAACCGTATTCAAAAGTAAACACAATTGTTATTTTTATTCAATATTTCTTAAAGAATTAATTTGCGCGGTGGACCGAAATGGAAGCGGACAAGAATTCAAATTTGTTATAATAATAATTCAGATTTAAAACGGGCCGTATAAAGAAACCCAGCCTTTTTTACTTCGCGTCAAATGAGTGATTTGTTTATATCTGTTTTCTAACCGATGCACATAGGGGTATTTGACCGATTTAGGCGGCCAAAATTATTTTTATGAAAATTTTAACTCAAAATGCCTAGAAACGACGTATTACGATATTTAAAACTGTAAATGTTTAAAATCAAATAAATAGAGGGGGAGGATGTCCAAGTATTCCGCCAAAAAAACGAAAAAAAGGTGCTTAATGTCGACATCGATAGACTCCATGTTATCGAGGCCCCATTGTAGAAAAATTGAGACCGACGTATTCGTATCGGCGAGGAGAACCTTTATATCTAAGTTAGAACATTAAAAGGGTTGCCACCTGCTTAAAAATTAAACGCTATTAAGTTAAATGAATTACTACAATGTGGGTAACATTCGAAATGGGTTTGAAAAGGCTTTATTTCCAAGAAACGTGTACGAGGGTTACCATCTGTTTAAAAATTAATTTATAAGGTTATAGTTGGAAACTATTTTAAACAGGGCTGCCACCTTTTAAATTTAAAATTAAATACAATGTATATAATAGGTTAAGTTAATTATAACAATATGAATATCATAAATGGGCAAATCAAAAAAACAGGTAACCTTTATGTTATTTAGCTTTATTTTCACTGTTGTAAACTATATGAAGCTGGTTGCTTTTGGATATAATTCATTGACTTATACTTGAAGCCTCAAAAAAAATTTGGACCAATTTGCTGCATAACTTTTGAATTATAGGTGTTTAAATTAAAAAATAATGAAAACAAGTGGATTGTTTTATGTAATTTTTAAAAGGGGCACAATTAGTTATGTCAAATTAGCTTCATATTTTTACTAGAACTTACCATCAAGCAGAGATTTTTTTTCTAAATGTACTGACAACTATGTATTTTCTCCTCTGTAACTCTCCACACTTTTCAATTCAACCCATCTTTAGCTAAACCCCCCCATCCCCCTCCTTTGCCCCTTTACTTTGTTGGGCGTCTTGGCTTGCCTATCACCCCCCTTTACTTATTGAATACATTTAAGGGAAACTGGTACAGTACTGCAGCAGTATTTTCAGTTTATTTTTCGGCAGTAGTAAGTATTTCCAACGGCCACTGCATAGAAAACGCACATTTTCAGCAGGTTTTTTTTTTTGTTTCCAAACTACGAATTGTCAAGCATAACAACCAAGCAAGAATCTCAGCGCCGTTGAGTGGTGTTACATAACTTTATGACTGTAGTTTATTCCTCAAATCCATTAAAATGAGCAAAAATACGATATTTTTCCTAGTCGCTCTGCCGGTACCAGTTTATATTATATTTGTATTAAACTATGTGGATTATATGGTATTTACCTGCTTTACAATTGTCTAATTTAATATAATTAAAAAAATTAACACGATTTAGAGCAGTTTTTTACCACTTCGGCTTGTATTAAACACATCTAAAAACCAAATAATCAATTATCAACACGGTACTTTGACAGTGCGGTGCGAACGAGTGAAAACAAAGAGGGATTAAAAAATAAAGAAATCTAGTCAAGAATTATATTCTCTTCGCCCTATATTCAGTTATAAAAGAAAAATGTGCGTTTTTTAAATTTGACTTTTGGCCGCCTAAATCGGCCAAATACCCCTCTGTGCGATGTGAGAAATAAAAAAGCGATTTGAAAACAAATTCGAGTCAATCCACTGTCGAATTTCTGAGCGTATTGAAAGTTGGTTTATGCTTCCGTTTTGAATCACATCGAACTGGGTCAAGGCGCTTTATGTGTTGGTATAAACAAGGTAATAGACAAAACAAATTTTAATTGGTTTTGTCGCCGAACAAAGGGTCGCTCCCAGTCTGGTACGCGAGCAGTTTTGACGCTGCCACTATCAAGGGGCTCAACGTCCATTTAATTGGGCCATAAGCACATCAGGTGTATTGTATATGGAGACACGACGAGGGTCGTTCAAGAAGAAAAGCGTGGGTGAGTGGGTGAAAGAGCACTTAGACAAGTGGACGAGCATGGGCAACACATTGTCAGATCTGGTATTGGTGTGCCACCATGCACCCTGTCATATTGGGCTTGAGCAAGTAGTTGGCAGTAGCGGTTCGCCCACCCTTCTGCGCTTGGGTTCATACTCGTCCATGCTCAATCCGATATTGAGAACATTTGGGCAAAAATAAAAAAGTTATGTCAAAAGCCATATGGTTATTCCTTCTACCGATGGACCGGGAGTAGTAGAAAGAAGACTGCAATACTTGGAGGAAGTAATTCGCCAATCGAAAGAGACCGTTACTACAGCGGATTGAGCTCGTGCTATCTAGCACTCATCTGTTTTTTTTCGGATGTTTTGGCCTTGCGGGATATGTCTGTTGGACTTTAAAACAGTTCGCTTAAATAAATCTGCTTTTTTACAAGTGTTATCCTGTTTTACTCAATTACAAAAATTGGGGGAGGGGTTAATCGGGATATGAATTTAGAATTCATTATGTTTTCTAAGGGTGATGATAAAAAGTCCATATATAAAAGTGTTCTGGGAATGATTTCTGAATTACATTTGCGTTCTTCGGAATTTAAATTGAGTTTTTCTGAAATACATTTGGCCTTTTCTGAATTTCATTTGAGTTTTTCTGAAATACATTTGGGGTTTTCCGAAATACATTTGAGGTTTTCTGAATACCATTTGAGGCTTTCTGAAATACAAAAACCAATTGAGGTTTTCTGAATATCATTTGGGGTTTTCTGAAACACATTTGGCCTTTTCTGAATTTCATTTGAGTTTTTCTGAAATACATTTGGGGTTTTCCGAAATACATTTGAGGTTTTCTGAATACCATTTGAGGCTTTCTGAAATACAAAAACCAATTGAGGTTTTCTGAATATCATTTGGGGTTTTCTGAAACACATTTGGCCTTTTCTGAAAATTAATTGAGATTTTGTGAAAATTATTTGTAGTTTTCGGAAATAAAGGGTGAACACACCAAAACTGCGACACTTAGAGATTACTACCAGAAACAAACTAGAAGGCTTTGAAATTATTTTTTTTTTGTATTATATAACTTGGAAGTTTAGATGTTATTAAAATGTTGAAATATTAGTTATTATTTGCTCCATATGCAAGTGATCGGTTTCTGCACGACTGCATCATCGACTTTACGCGATGCGCACAACTACTTTGTTTTGCACTCTTCAATATTTTTCACTGTTTCACCTGTTTTCTTCAAGATTTCTTTGACAATTGACCAATATTCCCCAATAGGACGTAGCTCTGGGCTATTGGTTGGATTGCAGTTGTGAGGTACAAAATTGATGTTATTTGCATTATACCACGGCAATGTGTCATTGGCATAGTGACAGCTTGCCATATCCGCCTATAACAGTGGCCTACTACCTTACCTGTTGATAAATGACAGAAAACGCCTTTTGTGGCACTCATCCCGGTAAACTTGATCATTCATTGTCCCGGATGGGAAAAAAGGGCTGCTCTTGCGGCCACAGGAACAACTAGCTTGCCAAACCATGTTGTTTTTTGGAAATTTGGACTTCATTTTCAGCTTACAGCTTTCACGGGCATCTTGCAGTTGTACACAAATCTTGACCTGCAATATAATTTGAATTTTTAAAGCAGTAGGTTTCGTAGGCCATAATAATGCAGTTGTATTTTTTAATTTAGAATTCATACAACTTCCGACTGCGGGATTTCGCTGTAGCCGCTTTACCTTTTGTACGAAAAACTGCGATCTCTGTACGGATTTTGCAACATAACGCGACAAAACCTTCGGATCTCGCGAAAACGCACTAAGAACCTTCCGAGCACTGTTTTTTTCACTTTGACCATGCTAACCCCCGCTCCCTGGTTTTCTCGTAACTGCCAGGCCTTATTTGTACCGATTAAAACCCTGCAAACTGTCGATTAGTGCAATCTTTAATTTTTAGCAATTTTACGTGTACTTAAGGCCAGATCATTTATAAACTCGTGCAAAATGGTTTGTCTCGTTTCTAACTCGGTTGCCATTTATAACTCAACTAGGGATCAAATTCAAATGAAATTTCTTCTACGTCCAACTAAGGTCATGGTCAGCTTATGGTATTTGAATTTCAAAATATTGACCCAAAGTGTCACAGTTTTGGTGTGTTCAACCTTTACATTTCTGGATTTCTGAAATACTTTGGAAAAGGTGTAGTATTTCTACTAGTAGATGCTGATGCATAGTCTGACAATTGGCATCTCGTACGACATCGCAATGTTAAAAATACCAGTCTATAAGATTGAAAAAGGAAAGAACGTGAACTAGTTGGACTAAAACGCAAACTGGTAGAATTCTTGTTCACAATTAGTAGCTTTCCCTGCAGGGTATCAGCTGAGTTATGTCAAGTGTACCATGATAAAAACATAACAAGATAAAACCATTGAGAGACAGTTTGACGTTTGCCAACAATATAATTTAAAAATCAAAACTCAAACTCACACACACATTCCCATTTTCAATCTCAAACAACAACAAGTGCGAACAATTTCATTTTTTTATTCTCAATTTTATGATTTTAGAATGCTGGCAAACGTCAGAAAAAAATCATGGCCGACGAATTGAGAGAATGAATTTACCTTGTAATGTTTTTATCATTGAGTATACAGTTGTATATTCGTAAAAAATTTAATTGATATACTTAATAATTTTTTGTAATGTTTTGTTTTTTTCAATCTTGGCTTAGGGTCTGCAGGAGAGAGTCTTACTCCGCCTTATGCAGCAGCGTTAAGCCCCTTGACTAATGGTATGGCATTTACAACTACTGCCTTGCCCCTCTACACCACAGCACAACAGACCACAACAGCTGGAAAACAAGTAGAAGGTGAGAAATAACCAAGAGTTGAGTTTAGGCAACAATGTAAAACATGCGCGAGTGCAGTACAGTGGGCCGCGGAGGTTGCACCCGCCATGTTGTGTACTCGTAAAATTGAAATTTTACATACATACATAAGTACCGCCCATCGACCAGTTGCAAAACCGCCTAAATCGCTGTTGTGGCAAAAATAATGCATGAAATCTCAAAATCGTTACTAAAACAACAGATTTATAAACTAATTGCAAGAGAAAATATCGCCTGTCAAGGCAATGCCTTCAAAGAAAAACCGTTTTTCGCTCTCCTATAAAATTTTATTGCCGTAAGATAGGCGGTTTTGCAATTGGTCGATGGGCGGTTTTGCAAAAACATCGACGATATATTTATTTTCCAATATCCAATAAATCCGAAATATCAAATAATTATTTATTTCATTTTATTAGTAATAATTTGTATAAATTTAAATAATTCAGTATTATTCCTGCATACATATCGCACAGCGTCTTCAAAAGAGTCACAACTCAAAATTTGGCATTTTTGAAATTATGCGCTAAAAATGTACTTACCTTTCAGCAAAAGCTGTAGCAAATTTTTGTTATAATTTGTAAAAAAAAAAACCTAAGGTTAAGTCCCCCTTGCCCATATTATTACCATGTGCTACGAAATAGTTTTTCGCATTTTTTGACGAACGTATTATTTTGAGTAGTGACTCTTTTGAAAACGGTGTGCGCAATACCTCATATCTTAGGGCTGCCAGACGTCCCGGTTTTCCCGGACATGTCCCGGTTTTAGACTATTTGTCCCGGTGTCCCGGTCCAACCTTAAAATGTCCGGGGTCTCGTCTAAGTGTCCCGGTTTTCGATTCGATTGCACAAATTTTGAATAAAAAATGACTACACTGAGAGAAAAAACGCGTTGTAATATTAAGAAAAATTTTTTGAATTTACTGGGGGAAATAACGCATAGTAAACATGAATATTTTTTATTTGATTATCGTTTTAAAATGTTCGTATTTAAAAACAATACTTTCATACCACGAACACGTGGTTTTGAATCAAACTGAACACTTGTATGCACATTTACATGTCTGGCTGTAGCTGAGTGCACGAAGATGCTTGCCACAATTTGCTAATTTTCAGAGCGTCAGGGTTCAAATCCCATTACAGGCAGCATGGAATTTAAATATTTTTTTTAACTTAATTGTGAAAAAGCTTCCGTTAAGTGCAAAGCCCTTCATTTTAATATTGGCGTAGGTATTTGATTTGAATATTTCTGTACTAAATACTAAAATTTGTATACTTAAATTTATTGCGAGTTGGGTTGGTGCTCTTTCATATGCGATTTTTTTTTTAAATTTAGCACGTTTTGCACAAGCAATAGTTGATGATTAATATAAGTAGGTACCTAAATACGTTAAAATGGCATGCACAGAGTTTTACAATTATGTTAAGCAAAACCCAGAAGTTTTGAACCAAGTTCACAGCAACGAAACAAATGACTGATATTTTAATGTTACCTTGTATTTAATTTTTTTTCTTTCCTGAAACCTAGATTACTTATAAGTACCGTGCCGTACAAAATTATTAGCTCGGAGACTATTTCATTAGATCACAATTTCCAATCAGATCTTTTAGAAAAATTTTGAAAATGTAGCTTTTGAGCCAATTAGTAAAGTGCAAGTCTGAAGTTACCAGAAAATTTCGTTGATTTTTTGCAATTATTTATTTTTTGCGGACGGCGGCTTCTACATACAAAAAAATGTCGAACATAGTTTGTATGGAAGAAACTCTCAGTAAAAACAATACCAAAACTCAACTAAATTTTTTATGGGCTGCGAAACTTCATTTTAAAAATTTTTATAAAAAAATCTGAATAGAAAGTTGTGAATTTGTATGCAAGTTTATTGCATTTTCCCGAGTTTTGCACAGAGTTTAGAAATTCTATTTTTATGTTTTCTGATGTATTAAGTAAAAAAATGTATTTTTATAAGGAACAATAAAGGTACATGAATTGTGAAAATTTCTCTGTGCTTTAGTTGTGATAAATTGTTTTGTTTTGCTGGTGTACGTTGTAATGATCTCATGATCTCATGTTTTTATGTTTTTGTTTTTGTTTGTCAATATAAAATTTTACTACATCATTTCGTACGTAATTTTTCTCAAAACGAAAGGGAAGTGAGCGAGAGGCCTTTCCCACCCTTAAGTGTCCCGGTTTGGCAACGGAGATATCTGGCAGCCCTATCGTATCTGCCAAATGCAATACCACGTATGAGGGGGCATAGAAAACTATTTATTTTGGTTAACTTGTCTCAATGCTTCCCTACTTCACACATTTTATAGTAAATAATTACATTAGAAGCTCTTATTTAGTAAGTTTAGTTAGCAAATCATTCAAACGTTCTAAAGAAAATAAGTTTCTTCGCTCTTTTCGAAATTTTCCGACTATCTTTTGCCGGATACGAGGTATTGCGCGCCAAGCGACGATATGTTTTACCAAAATCAAACAAAGAAGCTTATTCAATATGGAACAAAGAACCACCAAACTTAACACTGTGGGTAATAGCGTAGCCGATATTGGTACAGCTAGAGCTGGTACTTTGAAGCGCGGCCGAAGGTCGCCTACCCAAAAAGGAGTTGTTCGCGGAAAAATATGGCATATGGCATAAACGAATTTTGAAAACTTAAATCATAATTATTTTAATTACACTGTGGAACAAATTCAGGTTAGCAAAAGTTAGGTCGATTCTGAGAGTGAGGGGTGAAAATAAAGCCTAAATTAGAAGACCCGTATCGCGGCGTTTGTTAGTTCGAATTTTTTTTTAGTCGACCTTCGAACTTTGCAGTCAAATGCCGATTTTCAGCATATTGTTTGTATGGTTTTTTGGCTATAACTCGTCGATTAATTGATATTTTTTCAATCTGTTAAAGCCAAATTATTGCTAGAGACCTGTGCAACAATTAAATTTAAAAAAAATTGATTTAGAAAATTTTTGTAGTGCTTATGAAGCACAATGTTGGAAATATTTTTTTTCATGCTTTTTGAACATATTTTCCACAAAACCAAGTATTTTTTGCTTTCTGTTTGATCTATAATATGCTTCTCAGTTTCTTCAATAAATTTCATTTGAAAAGAAAACAATCATAATACAAAACTTGTGTTTCCAGCTTAATATTAATTTACTTCTCATTTCTTATGTACTAATTTTTTCAGTGTTGGTTTTGAAGAAACATTGAAAAAGAAATTATAAAAATATGGAAAAAAATATAATTTTGAAATGTTAGTTACGAAAAGTTTTAAGTAAAAAAATTAAATAAATTAAATTAATGATTTGGCCAGTTGCCGGTCAGCCGGCGGCTGTGGATCAACATCACTGCTCTCTCTAATATCTTGGTCATCGATAATTTCGTCCAACAGATATTCTGGAATTTAATCTTTGTCTTCCCCTTCTTCCTCTTTTTTCTCGTCTTCCTCTTCTTCAAAGGTGTTTTTATACCACCAACAAATTTCAGCGAGTATTGCATCTGGAGATTTCTTTCCTCTGTACCTGAAACGAAAATAGTTTTCAATCGTTAACATGTTTAAATTGTGCACTTTGACAAAGATATTACAAAAATCTAGGAATTCAAAATATGCACTCTCTATAGTAACCTTATTTCAAATGCAAGCGCAGTTTGGTGATAACGTTCGCCTTGCGCATCAGATTCAGTTGGCAACTGTTGAGCGAGTTGATCAAGATGCTGATGCAAGAGTTGAATTTTGTACGACATATTAACCCCAATTCCATCGAAAGCTGCCAACATGTTTGCCGCTACCAGAAATCGCAGAATTTTTGTAATTTCCTTTCAAGGGCGTGGGGTTAGAACCTTCATCAATAAAAATTATCAATTTCATCCAAATCCGACCAACCGATTTCTAGATATAGACTGGTCGAAAAATCGACCTCGGGCCATAAACCGTCAAGTAGGTAAAATACATACATGTTTTGTTTTAATTATTTGTATAAAAAATTTAAAACTTAAACTCAAACTTTATTCTTTTATTCGAAGAAAATGCATTAATTGTTATAATATACCCATAAACTGATACATATATTCTTACATTCTAACAGTTTTGCGCGACTGCAGTTCAGACGTGTATTTCTTCGCTCCGCGCTTATCTGGCTTTTTTAAGCGTTCTTTGTGAATTTTAATTCGCTTTGTTAGTGCGAAACTCATAATATACTGAGATAGTGACTCTTAATAATGTGAATTTCACTGACTCAATATTTATTAAATGTAAAAATATTCATACAATGCCTTGTCTTTGTGGTCAAAAAGTTGATCGTACACAATCTAAAGTGCAGTGTGCCGGGTGTAAAAACTTATTTCACCTCAAATGTGTTGGTATTTTCCAGGCCGATCTGTACTTCTTACTCTCATCTAATAAGCCGTTTCTTTGCAAAAACTGTATGGATGACCGTCGTTCATCTCTCCGCTGCCCATCCACACCCGTTGGTTCGGGTGGGAGCACTAGTGCTAAAGAATCTCTTAATTCAGACTCTCTAAGAGATGTCTCAAGTGATATCGCTACTGAGCATGACTTTCAATTGAAATCTACACTGCTAACTGTGGTTAAAGAACTTTCTGTTCTCAGGGCAGAAAATGCTCATATCTTGTGTTTGCTAGGTGCTTTGCATGAAGACAAAATGCAGCTAATAAAGAAAAGTGATGATTTGCATGTAGAAGTTCGTGTTTTGCAAACTAAGCTAAGCGACAGGGATGCCGACGTATCGTCGTTGACTGCGGAGATAAAAAGCCTTCGCGGCATTGTTGACAACTTTACTGGCCTCAATGCAAACCGCGGTATTGCTGTTAACAAATGTAAGGAGATGATTGACAATGAAAATCAATCTCTTTTACGCTCTTCTCCATCATACCCAGCCGCCGGCTCTCTGCATGGGACTAATGTTACTGCTGCTCAAGCTGAACAGTGTTTACCTACACCAACGGAAACTCCCTCATCTGCTCCGT